CATTTCGCTCTTGTTACGAAACCAAGCCAATGGACTTGGTAAAAGTGTTCTTTCCTCGTCAACCACAAGCTTATCATCAGCCGCTTCCATACCAATGATCGCACTCGTAACCGCGCCTCAGCCTGAAACTGAAGGGTCCAAACGCCAACTCAGACTTTAATTCAACCCTCCCATTGACACAAACAAGATCACTAGGGCCACAATCACCCCAGTTTGACTTTTGTGAAGCTGCTGTCATCATTTGTCCCTATTATCGTCGTTGCACAGGAGCCAAACTCGGCTTGCGACTTTGTTTACTTTTCGTTACTTTGTGGACGACATACAAGCAGCCACAGTAACACTGCCGACGGGTTCGCCTGGATGTGGTGAAAGTCCATATGCATCTCAAATGAACAGCAACCTCGTGCTGCTGCAAACGCAAGCTGGCTCGTGCCCGGATGTCTGTGACAAGACGCCGTTGACACCATAGACAGAGGGGAACACTGCTTCCTCCCAAGAAGACAGAGTACTCTAATGATGTGAAACCAGGGAACTCTGACCGAAGCATGAAAAACACGTCGGCCCATCGAGCTACGTACCGGCACGCAAAAGCCCTCCAAAGTGCACCCTCTACGTATTGCACCGAGTGCCTCTGGGTCTGGGGCGTGTTGTCCCGACAGGAGCCACGTCTACCCCCCATTTTCGACGAACATTGGACCCTCTAGTTACTCCGTAGCGAGTCCCCAGTCCTGTCACCTCCCAACTCAGTCACAGCTAAACCACCCAGGGCTGTGGCCGCGGGCGGGAGGGGTGCACAGCCGGTGAGCCAGCATGCAGCGATTGTTGACAGGGATAACAGGCCCCTCCCATACCTCTTCCCCTGTCAATCAGCCAAGATAATGCCCTGCTACTGGAAGCTTTCTTCTTGCCCTGTTTGTCATCTCAATGCCCACTGGAGAGCAAGGTCTGGGTGAAGGGGATGCATCTTTCCCCAGCTTGGTGGTGTCATTAGAAGTCAATGCGTTCGCCAACGCAGACTCAACGGCATATCGAAGACAAAGCAACGGCGGGCCTCGGGGTCTTGTCCTTCCGGAATTCGAACTTTGTCCATGTGGTCGTGCAAAATATGTAAGACGGCTCATTTAGTGTGACTCGGTCAATCTGGTTCATGGTTGAACAGCTGCATGGATGACCATGGCCACGTTTATAACACACCCACAGAAAGTGTAAACACCTAGGTTCCCACTTATATCGCTATCAAACTCAAGATTGAGCGTCGTGGTAGAGTAGCTCGCCTGCATACAACGGCTGGGAATAGACACAAAGAGCTACCTGACTTCCCAGATTATTGGGCTCCGGGATCGATCGAACGGCCCGCTTGCATCCACAGGCCTAATAATTGGCCCCCACCGCGGACATACGGAGTACAGGATGGGGAATTGAAACTGAGATATGCGCTAGTCAAGACCAGTTTGACGATTAAGTGAAACTACAACAGCTGCACAGTTTCAAGCTTCACGGAAACATACTTAGGAGCTCAAGGCCAGGGGGCTTGCTGACGGAAACCAGGCATCCTGTGAGTGGAGTCATGGCTTGAACTCTGTCGTGCATATCAGGGATGGCTCCGCTTGGTTCAATGCCTGAATATCCTTCTTGTCCCAGTAATGTTTCATCCCTTCTTAAGGTCGTATAGATATAGCTACGCTACCACGGATAAAAACGACTCTATGGGTTACAAGAGACAGACGTTAACTTCGTTCAAAAATCAGCTCGACAGCCTTTGGAAATTTGCCCAGGACGAATCCATCAACACCCAACTTGGCTTCTAGTCAAGTTCTGAAATAACAAGGTAGCAGGATCGGGGGCCCTTATCAAGAAGGGCATCCCTTCTTCTCCCTTCATCGCTGGCATGGCTTCTTTGTTGCCGTATCACCTTTTTCAGCCATCAAAAGGGCACGGTCTCGGCAGGATTCCCGTTCCAAAACCGAAGCCCACTTCCACCTGGGTTTCCTCAATCACTTAAGGATGCGAAGACTGAGACTCAAGCTACTGAATGACCTCAAAGTCCTTCACATATCTTAACCCTGCCGTTGTATTGATACCATTCTGGTTCTCCATTCTTCATTGAAGCGGACAGCCGGACCCCCCAAAGGTTGGAAGAAGGATGCAGGCAGGATGCAATGAAACTGTCAATGAATCGTCATCTTGAGTTACGGTTCATGGAAGCGCGCATCAAAGAAGATTCAATCAAGGTCACGAACATACTCACTTCGAAAATCCTGTAATCAATGATCCAGTGTACTGCCACTTATTACAAGTCTCAGCTCATTGGATGGTAATTGTTTTTCGCAAAGGGATGGTATGTCAAATCTCACATACCTTTGTTAGCAACAGCAAACAAATCATCCGCAGGTAATTACTTTTGAAGTCACCTGGTGTCACGTATCTTACCAACGGTAATCCACGAGCTTCCTTTTCCGCGAATAAATAGGAAGACACAGCAGAGGTAGCCACCACTTTCTCCGTTGCTTAGACTGAGTCATAGCCTTATCGAAGGTCATGGTGTTGTCGCAGATCTATTGCCTGGCGCCCGAGGATGCAGCTTGAAATTTGAAGTTTGACGTTCCCGGATTACGACCCTGGGTCGCGTCGTCCTCTAGCTCAATTAGGTCGTCATTACTCGACCTCGATTGGCCTTTGGCAGCCTATACCTGCAGCAGAGCTTGGGGAACAGGACATTTTGCACACCTATGCTCAGTATCCTATTGGCCTGACTAGAGGTGTGTGTGATCGGACCTCGTGGTGATATCGCATAGCTTCTTACCAGTCATTGCACTGATGACGGATATGAGAATCCTTGGAGACTGAACAAGCGCTTTGCGTGAAATTTCAATATGAACTTTCATCAGCTCATTGACAAGTCTCAAAATCGTAGACGGTTTTGCTGCGTCCCAAGTTTAATGTTGTCCACAGTTCCTTCAGGCATACGGCGCCAGCCATATAGCCGTACATACGCGGATCACTTACCAATATCGCTTTTTGGGAGCATCATCATATCTCAGATAGGTACAATCGTGCGCATTGGGGTGATCCCCATTAAAACGATTTATCCCTTGCTACTGGCACGCACATGTGGTCTAACGGTACCACGTGAATGACGGATTGCGGCTGAACGCAACATTCTCAGGCACAAATTCAGGGTCTCGGTATAGAAATTGCCAAACACATCCGCCAAACGCGTTGATCATTCTACAGATCTCAGCCATTGATCTGAAGATGAAGGTGGTGCTAGCAACGTCTCACAACACGTGTTTATTGCAGCACAGAAAGGACAGCCTAGATTGCTTCTCATGGGGTTGCTACTTTCGGGTCATTGATTTTGGCCATTGTGTTGGAAACTGCCCTGCCATGGTTAATACGACAGGGATCCCCTGCCGTGACATTTAACGCCAACAGTCCAGCCCAATTCACAGGCCTGCGCTCTAGTCCATGAGTGAGGTCACCGAGGTATGAGCGTGCCAGGCCCAGACATCCATCCCAGATGGTGCGTCTAAAACCCGTCACATCCCGGTGGTATCACTGGATCCCCCAGGCTGGATGCCCGTATAATGATTGACGCAATGCCCCTTGGGCAAAGTCACGACTACCATTTTGAGATGCCATTAACCATTCAGTCCCAAAAAAAAAACTTTGTTCAACCGATCAAGCGCGGATGATCTCGGGTCTAACTTCACATCGAATGGGACCAGCAGTCGAGTTATACTACATACTGATGTTGACTTTGGGATCCATCAAATTCTAGACGAAATGATCGACGGTGCCCCGATAACCGTCGATGCTCATGTGACACATTCAAATCTTCTGTCCCTTCTCAAGACAGACTAAAGTCCTTGACAGCCACTGTCTAAGCCGCTGGGTGGATATGATTGTTCGCACTAACATTGAACCCTTGCCTCGAGACAAGGAGATCACTTGGGTCGCCAATGACGAGAAAAGACGATCCCCTGCGCGACTGTGTGAAATACTCCGAAAGCAAGGGATAGCTGTTCAACGCGAATGCTTTTTTCCCCTCTTGCATTTCCCGTTCAGCTTTTTCTAATGTGCTCGCACGTTTTCCTTGCTGACATGATTTTGTCCAGTAAACGAACGGCCTTGCTTCAGCATCGGGCTGTTTGTACCACAGCGCTGAAGTCAGATGAATCAACACATCCAAGTTGGGGAAGGTGATGGCTAAAACAAGGGGCTGGAAGCTTGCGTGAGATGAATCTACCTCATTATACGGTAGACTGACCAACAAATTGTTTTGCAGGCGTGCAGCTCAAGGTTCCTGAGCTAGACGATGACAACCACACCCTCCCAGATCAACCGCATACATTGAGCAATGATGAGGGTGATCAAGTTTATCATTCTCACCATCATATGTGATGACTAAGATGACTGTTCAATCTGTTTTATAAGATCAGCGGTCGCCTGACCAGCAATAATTTGCCTATTTGTTGACTTGGCATTCACGCCGGGTGTTTAAATGGATAAATGATCCGAGAAAGGGCAATTGACAATCAGCAAGTCAAAGTTCACATACCTTTCACGAAGTTCTGAACTACACAGCCTGCAGAGGTGCTGTTGCCTTATTGGGGCTTGCAGCAGCTCGAAGACAGGTTGTTCGGCGAGTCTTTCTCAAACAGCGCAGTTCAGCACCGGAAGCCCAGCTCAGTACATGGTACCGAGCCTCCGAATCACAGGGGACAAGTCCAGAGAGAAATATTGTCTATACCCACAGCCCTTTGCATACCAGGGCTACTGAGCTCTAATGAATGCCAATGCTCGACCGTGCCCCCCACAATGTAGCCTCGTTGAGATCTGGGCGTGGAAACTCTTGTCTCTGTGGTGTCCGAAAATAGCCATGAGCCTGGCTGGGACTGCTAAGCTCCGAACAGCCATGGGTGAACGGTGAGCATGGCGAGGTGCATCAGAACCCTTTTTCAGTTGCTTGGTGAGTATTGAAGAAGCTGATCGGATTTATGTTCGGCAAGCCCAGAATTGTTTGCGCATTGATATTCCCAGCACTGTCACTGGCTGGACTCGCCAGTGAAACTGCGTTACATTTCTCCAGTGAATGCAAGAAGCAAGGATTTATTGCAAATGGGGGCCTTATTTATACCAAGAAAACAGAAACTCATGTGCCGCATTCTTCTCCTCTCTCCATCTTCTCCTCTCCATCTTCATCTTCATCTCAGTCTTCGGATCCCAAAGCGTTGGCATCATCAACAACTTCTGGAGTGGATATCCAATACCTGCCTACCAAGCTCGAGACGACCCGCTAAAGCTAATTTATCGGCCTACAAGGAAACAACATTACACGATAGGCAGATCAAAAAGGTGAGATTGGCCTGGACCCTGCAAAAAAGGGCTCAGACTCCACACGGGAGATATTTTTGGTCCAACGGCTTTTGGCTTGATAGCTGACTAGTTGGGTTCGTTGAAGCTGAAGCTGAAGCTGGGGCTAATTTGTTTGGCTTGATAGACAGGTCAGCAAATCGTTTTCCAATATCCGTACTCGCAATCACTATCATACCGTGTTCGTCTCGTTCATCGCTCTGTTCCAGGGGAGTCAATTGTCTACCCCCATTTGCCGAGATCATTTCTACTCAATTCAATCAAAAGATCTCATCTGTCCCTAGTACATACAACATTCAGTCAGCTATGGAGCCTACCAACGATATCAAGGGCCTCATCCACCAGTCACCGCCCGTCGATGTGTCCAAGCCCTACGATGCCACAACTCTCAAGGGTAAGACCATTGTCATCACCGGCGGTGCTAATGGTCTTGGTTCTTACATGGTTCGCGAATGGGCATCGCATGGGGCAAATATCATCATCGGCGATGTCGCTGACGCAGCGGGCGAAAAGCTTGTAGCTGAACTTACAACTCAGTATCCGGACTCAGCTTTTGCCTTTCAGCATTGCGACGTCACCGACTGGGAATCACAAGTCGGCCTCTTTGAGACGGCGGTTCACGTCAGCCCTCATGGAGGCATCGATATTGTCGTCCCTAATGCCGGTATCATCCTTCCGGACGTCTCCATTCAGTTTGAGGAGCCTGCTCTCAAGAATGGACGTCTTCCAAAGCCCAACACGGCTCAGTTCGACGTCAACATCACTGGCGCTGCCTATACCACTCACCTCGCCATGTACTGGCTCCCACAGAATGGATCTTCCCCGCGAGATCGTTGCCTGCTTCTCGTCGGCTCGCTTGCGTCTCTTTGCCCTTTCCCAACTCAAACCATGTACACGATGAGCAAGCATGCTATTCTTGGTCTCTTCCGCACTCTTCGTGCTACGTCTTTCCGGAGTGGCGTTCGTGTCAACATGATCACTCCCTACTATGTCTCCAAGTCCAACATGCTCAAGCTCCCCATCGAAGCTGCCTTCCTCTCCGGCACAGCAGGCGGGGCAATGATCGAGGATGTCATTGATGCTGCCACTCGACTCATTGCTGATGAAGAGATTGCAGGTCGTGCACTCTGCGTCGGTCCCAAGCTCAAGTCCGCTGGCGTGGAGGGTGTGGAGGATGTGGATGCTCTCATGACCGTCCAGGACTCTGAGAACGACGGACAAGGGCGTGCTGTATGGGAGTGCTACGCCGATGACTATGACAACGTCGATGCGTTTGTGAAACGTTTTATCTTACTTTTGAACGCCGCTGAAAGAGTCAAGGGGTGGTTTGGTATTTTCACTGACATATGGGGCATGCTGCGACGCAAGTGAGCGGCAGCCAAGGATCGCCAAAGACCCCATTACAGTCGCTTTCGGTGTCAGTTTCATGAGTATTTGAGCAGTCGAATTGTGGTCGGTCTTTGGAGACACGTCATAGTCAAGGGTTGGTTACACACGAAATCATGCATGTAGACTATTGCCAAGTCATGAGGATAGCATGAGATGTGTCGTGCTGGATAACAGGATCATAGGCATGCACACGAATAAAGAGCTGATGACACATTGTTATTATAAGATAGGATCTCGTATATGTGATGAGTTGTGGCATCAATGGGCAAGTAGTTGTTGAACAAGTTGGGGTGATCTGAACATGCGGCTTGTCGCAGCTTCATGCAGTGATTCTTTTCGGGGATGGTGACGCATGGGATGACGGGTGAATGTTGTGTAACATGTCACGATAAATTCGTGGCCAGACTTCACCGCGGCTGCCATGTAAAGTCAAGCTTGGCCAGCAATACTCGAAGACTCGGAGGATAGTTCACGTGGTGTTGCCATGCAGATTCAAGAGGAGTTCCGAGATGCGAATGAGTCTCAGGGAGTGGAATGCATTGGGCAGAACTTAGAAGTCACCCTTGCCAAATCGGAAGAGAAGCTGGTAAACGCCTGTATTTGCATAGCCCATATTGCTTCACTCTCGTCGCTAGAAGCATTTCGTATCAATGCAAGGTCGTCCGACTTGATCATACCACAACAGCTTCTCATCCATCTCACTGTAGTTCAAGTAGAAAAACCAGATACCCATATCCAATCCTGAAAGCAGTAAACATGTGCAGAACCTATATCCCAGGTCCGATATCCAACGCCTCCGACGCCGTAATGTGGAATACAATATGGGAATTGTCGATCCCAAAACATCAGTCGCTTAGCTCAAGCATGCGATGCCATGCGATTCGACTCTATTCGATTCGGTGTGGTGCGTTATGTCGTCTATACGCGTCGGTCTCGTTTCAATAAAGCGATTCGATTCTGCAGCGAGTCTGAGGCTGACTCGCAGTCAAACATCGTTTCGCCTCATGAGACCGCGAAGTCGTTCATGTGGTCCTTCCGAAAGCACCAGATATCTTTGATAGATTTATGTTAGATGGTCGTGATCCGCGTAAAACGTGCTGTATAATGTGAGAGAATTGAGGGGAAAATGCCGAGGCCTAGAAAATTTGAATTGAGAGAAGTGAAAGAATTCCAGTGCTTAGATGCCATCCAGTGGCCATTGTTTTGAAAGCGGTTCATTGAGTTCACAGGATCACACATCGCGGTGAGTCCTTCTTTCGGCGACGTCGTTGACGTCTATGAGAACTCCGGCCGTGATCATACTTGTAGTCGTCATTGGGTCCGTCATTCGCGTGTTGTTCGTCCTCTTTTCGCAACATTTGCCTGCAGAGATCGATAAAAACCTCATCAACGTTGGCTGCATAGTCGTTAGTCCAAATGCGGCGAAAGAAGCCACGCATGGGTGGATGGGCAAATTTACTCCTTGTCCTCGCGCTAGCCTCATAGTAGGGTGCGCCCCATCGTTGTGAGATGGAGAAGCCCTTGGCTCGGGGCACAGCGCGATTCTCCTCCAAATCGGCTTTGTTACCGACAATAACAAGAGGTACATTTTCGTCGTCTTTTATCCGGATGATTTCTTCACGCAAACCTGCCAGTTCGCTTAGGGAGGAAGACGATGTGATACTGAACACAAGAAGAAAACCTTGGCCGGTTTTCATGTATAGATCCCTCATGGCGACTGTACCAACATCAGTACGAGGGTCGTGCGAAAGTTGTTGAGACATAGAGGACCTACCGAATTGCTCGGTCCCCGCAGTATCGAGGCTAGAGGCCGAGTCAGTGACAGCTCGTCTCCAAACACGGATTGAGTGGTGAGACAATCAAGGAGCAAAAACTTACATTTCGAGGATAACTTGACGTCCCTGAGACGAGCGAGTCAGTCAGAAGGGGTCAGGTAGTGGCATTGTTGCCATGCGCAATACTTACATCAACCTGAAGCTGCGTGCGATAAGAGTCTTCTATGGTGGGATCATAGCTCTCGATCCACTCATTGTGGACGAACTGGGCTGTTCTCGCATGAGCTTTGTGCTACAAAGGGGAAGACAGGGAAGCGTGGTAGGATTGCGGATGCAACGGTGGGACGCAGGCGCAGCAACAAGAACATGGGACGAGGGGAAGGTGAAGGCGAAGGCGAAGGCGACGGCCACGGCCTTGACCAAGGGAGAGTGATAACTCACCAGTTAAACAACTTTTGCCCACGCCGCCTGTCAAATGATAAACGAGTCAGACAAGCGCACACGTAAGAAAGGGAGAGTCAAAGCGAAAGGGTTGCGTGGTGCGGTGCGGTGTTGGGTATAGACGAACCTGCTCCCAGGACTACCACATGGAGTTCGCGACTGAGTATTGAATTAGCATCAAGTACAACACAGCGTCAGGGATGAATGAGCCAAACCTGGGTTGGTAGTGATAATGTCGTGGCATGACGGTGATAAAGAAAAAGAAGAAAAAAACCACAGGATTTCGTGATGAGCGAGCGTATGCCGACGCAAGGCGAGTGACAAGCAATGTATGCCCCTCAAAAAACTGTATATCAATCAAGCGATAATAAAGATTGGGGGTTGCTGATGGTAATAGTGAAACCGAATGACTTCAATGCACAGTCCAAGCGAGGGAAAACGGACACTAATAAGTCTGAGCTCAAGTCGATAAATTGGCGACAAACAGGTGCAGATAGATCGGGGAACTGTTGGTGAGGAAAGGGACACTGAAAAAAAAGGGCGAGACTGATCGTGGCCGGTTGCGGTTATGTATCTTTCTGGAGCCTCACAGCCTTGAGGTTTGATAGTTGAGCACCCAATCGTATATTGCGACGTTGAAAGAAACCAGCACGCGCACGCCGGGAGGAGACAAAACACGACACGAGCAGAACCGAGATGTTGAGTCAAGCTCAAAAAGAATAGTGTGAAGACGGGCTTGGGGAGGAGGGAATAAATGAGACCAAGAGGGGAGATAGAGCCAGCTAGACAGATGGATGACACTAGAACCAAATAAAAATGTCCAGGATTTGTGATGCCTGAAATTGAGTTTCCTCGTTTGGTCCCAGGACCGGGAGTCTGGGAAGCGCCCGTGGCGGCTAGCTCGAGATATTTCCTTGGGGAAGCGGAGGACAGCCACTGAAGTCCAAGGAAAGTGTACGTACGTATGCAAGACGTACGTACGGCGCCTCTTTTTTTCTCGCTTGGTTGGGTTGGTACTTGTATTCCCAGGGTGCAAGGAGGATGAGAATGACCGGGGAAAGGCGGTGTTTTTTTCCCTTTGGCTTCTGGCTGAATTAAGGCCAAGCACCGCCCCAAGATTTCGAATGCTAAAAAAGAGGATAGTGCTTAATTGTAATGGTTGTCAAGTTTTGGCGTTCTAGAACTGGCTTGAACCGAAAGCAAGATCTTCAAAGCCCGGGACCAGGCTGGATCGGGCTGGACTCGGCTGGACTAGAGCTTGGGATGAATCGAATATGGCTGAGTGGCCCAAGAGATGGCACCTAATTCGAGAATGACGGTAA